CTTGACACACAAAATAAAAATCCTATCCAAGTCCTTTCTTATCCACAAGTTGTTTCTTTTCACTCTCTCTCCCTCTCTGTTTAAATAATCTGGATGCATCTATATCATCCATTTTGCTACTATTTGCATCTTGGTTCCACACACATTCCTCCTGGTTATACAAACAAACCATACAATGTTTTGTCCTGAGAATGCAAGGATTTCCTTTTTCCTGGGCAAACCCAGATAAATGGACAGAAACACTGGAGGATATACTTTGAAGGCTTAGTATAGAAAAATGTTTACAACAGATGAGCTTTAGGCAAAATGGGTCAACACAAATAAACACCAATAGGCCTGAGGTAGATTTGGCTGTAGAATTCTCCTTTCTGCTTAAGAAGATGAGCAAGGCATAGATGGCCAGGGGCTGACAATATGCGGCACTCCAGATGCCTGGCTTGTTTTAGTTCAGGGACATGGGGGTGTGGGCCAAAGTATCCAGTGTGCCACAAATCACCCACCTCACCTTACAGGAAGGAGCAAATGAATCCTAGGAGGAGAATGGAATCGTTGGCTTCCCCTACTATGAACTAAGCCATAAGGTCATAGATAGCCCTGCCACAGGTTTGGCAAGGGTGCGTGGCCTCTCTTGTACTCCCATCACTTAAAGGGAGGTGCTGACAGGCGTTCACGCTGCCTTCCACACCATCATATTCTTCAAGTTGGAAATGTATCTCCAGGCATAGCGACACCTTATGTTACTTCCCTGGCAGTGCATGGATCAGGGTTATGACAGCTGATAAGGCAGTTCTAATGGGCCATCCACACTTCAGGTCAGCAAATACAGCAAAGCTCCCAGAGGAAGTAGTCAGGAGACACCCAGGGGTTTGAAAATCCTTAGGTCTGGAATGAGGAAATGGGGTGGTAAGAGAGAAAGAGCAAGAGAAGGAAGGTGGTAGGTGGTCCAGATAGAAGGCTAGAGAGTTCTACAGGTCTGCAAGACCCACCAAGTTTGGGTTTTGGCTCTGCCCACCATTGACTGAGGCCCCCAGCCAGCATTTCCTGTGGGTCAACAGCCCTTCCTAGGAAAAAGGCTTAGATGGACAGTTCACATTTTGCCGCACTGGTAAGCATTGCAGACAAATGTCAGCTGTGGGTTCCCAATAACAGGCAGTACTGCAAGTGATGGCAGGAAGGCTGAAAGCAGTGCCAGGTGCTTCCTTCATTGTTGTACTGGAAGGGTTTTCTCATAGTAGACTAAGGAAACCCTCAGTTACTACTTTCGCATGCTAATATGATAGTACTTAAGGCCATGTGCATATATTTGTGGTCCAACACTGGCAGCTTAGTTTGTCAATAAACTTTCATTTATGCAGTGACCTCTGAAGATATGGGATTAACAGCAGCATGAGGGGCAGATATGAACCAATGACAATTTCATGGGCTTTGGGGAGCAGGGTTGATCACTAAGGACCCCCAGCCTGAACTGTGAGGCTGTGGCTGTGCCAAGTGATGGACAGAATGAGTCCAACTTGCTGGTGAGTTTAGTCCGCCCAGCTCTAGTGAATGGGGGGTGTCTTCCATCCTGCACGGAGCGTGTTGAGCACAGGGGAAGAATAAAGAATGCAGTTGGATGAGTGCTCCATCGCTGTTGGAATTGGGTGGAAAAGGCAGGCAGGGAGCTGGCTTGGAGCTGTGTGGGAAATCATGTGGCGCTTTGGGCACCCTAGACATCTGACGGGCATGAAAATGCCCAGGGTTCACCCAAGGCATTTTGCTGCCTGAGATGAAAGACCAGATAGCATCCTCTCTCCTTCCATGCATAAAAGCCAACAGGACTTGCAACTATAATACTGGTGATGAGACACTGCAGTTACTGAATTCTGCCTGTTATTGGAGCTCAGTATCTGCATAATGTCTGCCCTGGTTCCCACCTTTTCTCTTTTTCCATCCAAATTAGAAGCTGCAGTTTCAACAGGAATGAAAGGAATGCCAGGACCGGTCTATCTCCCACAGCTGCCAGCAGCTGGTCTCTCATTGGTCTGGGCTGGGTACCAGTCCCAGCAGCCTTCCTGTTGCTCTACAGATGCTTGAAGTAGATAGGAAACAGCTTCTTTGTCTCCTGCCTTTGCAGACTGATACCAAGCTAAGGCTGGAGGTGCTGCTGGATTTTCTGCAAGGTCTTTTTCTAAGCAGCTATTATACTAATCAATCTCTCTTCAGCTCAACTCTTCATCTGAAGGAACGGAAAACACCTTTCAGCAGTGACAGACTGCTAGCATAGCAGCCTGTGTAGTTTAGGCGATTCCTCACAAGAATTGTCTGCTGTGGGATTGCACTGTTTAAAAATAAAACCCCAAAACTTTCATGTCAGGAAAGATGAAGGAAAATTTCATGGTTTAAAAAATGTTAGCCAGGTTATGGTGCATTACTGAGACATAGCATGCCATAAAGGAAAAGAATTGCCTTCATGGAATGTTGAAATGTCCTCTGGTATATTTATCTGCTATTCATCTTTGTAATGTTCCTAATATTTTAGCATTGCTTGAATCAAATACGCACGTGCAGCTGTAACATCTAATCCTTTCAAGTATCATTTTTGCATTCACTTTTCTGGGGATGGGGAGCAGGTATGTGCAGTCTGTGTGAGGTCATCAGGAAATATGCCTCTTTTTATTCTGTTCTGTTCTTTTCCTTTACCTTTCCTCTTTCTTTTAAAAATCAGAAATGCATTCCTGAACATTCAAGAACTTCCTGGAAAAAGTTCAGCTGACATTGAGTCTTATGACTCTGCACTGCAATGGCCTAGAGACCTTCATTTGAACTGTTGGCAAAACTCTCCTTCAACTTATCCTTAAAAAAGAGTTAGGAAGATCCAGGCAACGGGAAATTTTCAGGTGCAGATACAGCAGCCTTGCCTAGCCTAATGCTTCCATATGTGTTGGAGTACAGCTTCCATAATCCCTAGCCAACATATGTGGATGATGGGAATTATAGTCCAATACTTGACAGGTGCCAGGTTGGAGAAGACTGCATTAGAGGGAAGGTCATCAAAGGTCAGTAAGAGATCATGCAAAGAAAGAGGGGTGCCTATCTTTTTTTTTTTTTTAAGGGCGCTCATGTGACTTTAATAACAGAAATTCAGCAGGCAGCAGTCTTAGTTGGCCATAGGATGGTTACACAGTTTTATTTGGGGTGGCGGTACAAGTAGCTCAAATTAGAATTAATAGGATGATGATGATGCTATTTGCACTGGAAATGTATATCTGATTGGGTGACCGTTACACATCATCATATAGGGAACAGATTTGTATAAAATTTGAATTGGGTAGTAATTGGACAGTACCAAAGTTTCATTCCACAGACTCAACCACCACTGGTGGAGACACACTAAATCTTCCCATTGCACAGGCACAAACACAACCTTAGTTCAACTTCTCCTCTTGTCAACCTGGGGTCCGCTACTGCACAAATACTGCTGAATAGGCATGGATATTTAACCACTGTCGTTTCAACAGAAATTCAATAGTCAACAAATCCATCACATTAATTTGCACAAGCCTCCTGTTATCAGATGCAGAGGGTCATTTAGGGGAATCACTGAGGCAGTGTCCTCAACACGCTTGCTGCACTCCAGGGTGGCAGCACCTTTGGCTGCAGAGATTCACTTCAGGTTGCCGGGGAAGTGTGGGTGCTGGTTCGGCATGGCTTCACCAGGTGACATCCATAGCTGTGGGGACAAGGTGGGACGCAAACAGGAGGCAGCAACACGTTTTTAAGAAAATGTGGCACTTAACTGGACACTTTACAAGGAAAACTGTCACAAGTTAATGCACAAGGCCTCATCCTCCAAGACAGAGAGTGTCTTGTTCTATTTCACGACAACCGATGGGGTAGGGTAGTTCTCAGCACCCAAAAGGATGACATCATGTCTCTCACGGCTTTATGGAGGACCAGTAATTCCATTTATCCCTTCTTGCAGGAACAAAAAGAAAAAATTCAGCTAGCCTGACATTATAGGTTTTTAATGAGAGCAGAAAACTAAAAAACATATTTTTGCTGCAGAAATTAGACAGACAGATTGAGCGGAGAGGAACTGGGAAGGGGAACATGTCTGGTTTACTGTCATTTGCAGTTTTCTAGAAAGGAAAGGGATCTTTTGGCAGCACACAACTTTCCAAAGGAACTGCAGCTGTGTAGATATCCAAGAGATCCTTCAACTTTCCAAACAAATGCTACTGGCCAGTTATTTCTAAAGAGGCCCAACACTTACTGATGACCCAGTAGAATCCTGAAGTCAGAGGGACTCTTCGCCACTGCACGGCTAACAGTGACGGCTGTAGCATTTTTTACTGGAACTGCTGGTTCATCATGCAGCGGCTGAGTCCCTGCTTCACCCCACCCCATGCTCACATAAATAGCACAGTGATCTGGTAGAACACGTAAGTTGCGATCCTGTAAACAGGCTGCTTACATCTCAGTGATGGTAGTGGGAGTTCAGCAGCCAAACGATGTGTAGTTTTTGGAACCCAAGTCCGTATAATGTCCTCTGGATACATTCATCTTTTAAAACTGTTTACATAAAGTACAATTAGTAAATCGAGACTTCTGCTACACTGATTTCCATGGGCAAAATGTCCATTGGAAATGGCTTGATTCAATTTCATCTCTCACATGCACAAAACAAAATGGAAGGGGTTGTCATTTTATCTGTTGAAAGTGCCGTGCTTGTAATTCATAATAAGAATACCAATACCAATAAGAATAAAATACAATGGTTGCATTTAAGAAAATATTTCAAGGTTAGGATTTTCAGTGGCACCAGAGACAAACAACCGTCCAGCTTTCAGTGCTGGCTAGGCAGCAAATTCCCATAAGGCAGAAATCCTTCTCTTACATACCCCAAAGTAGTCCTATTTAACACAAGTGAAATTACACTAGAGTTTGGTCTGCAGCCTGAAGCACCCTTGAAAATCCAGCCTGAACAGGTTACATTTGAATTTGACATTTAAAAAAAAGGATCATGGAAAAACATTTACCACATTTTTTGTCAGATGCTGTTTGTCGGAGCAAGGCAGGGGTTTAAGTGCTTGAGGTATAGGAAGTTCCTGGATGCTTTCAGGAAAATGGGAGGGTGGAAGAATTTGGAGGATGGTTTGCATAGCTTGAAGATATAAAGATGCAGGTGTCTTCCCCACCAGGCTGTTGAACTTGTCCTCCCCTAGCAGGACTTTCCAGTGCTCTGGATGCTCTCGCAGGACCTTCTGCATCTTGAACTGGGGGTTCGGCATGAACAGCAAGAGGTAATCAAGGCAGAGCTTTTTGGATGCCACATTGACTTTGGAGTCCCACATCTGTTCCAGGATGACATCCAGTGGGGTGAGCCCTTTGCCATCCTTTATATGGGGAGAGGCCCCATTCCCAAGCAGGATGAGAACAGTCTCTGCCCTCAGGAGCTCGCAGGCAAGATGCAGAGGGGTCTTGCCATCTTCCAGGTGAAAGCAGCCGGTCCTGTTGATGTAGGAGTTCAGACTAGGCTGCTTGTGTGCGATGCTGATGATCAGCCCCAAGATGTCTCTCCTGTCGTAGGTTACAGCCATGGCTAAGTGAGGGGCAGAGGATGGGCAATAGCAGAAATGCTCCCCAGGGACTTTGAGAGCCTCCTCCGGAAAGTGAGACAGCAGATACTGAGCGTAAGGCAGGTGATTGTGCACCACTGCATAGAGCAGGGCTTCGGAGGGCGAGTAGGTCCTCTGGCTGGCATTTTCCTCCCAGTAAAAATACTCCATGGTCCTCATGTCTTCCAGCATCCACACAGGCTTGTGATCTCGAACAGCCTGGTAGAACATATAAGATAAGAACTTGCAGTGCCTGCTCTGGGCATCCTGTAAGCTGGCCTGGTTGCTACTGGCCATGTCTCGAGAGCAGAGGAGCAGGTCCTTTTGTGCAAAAAGGACCCCCTCCTCCCTGCAAAGGAAGGCTGATGTTCAGCTGGAACGCAGACTCAGAGCCCGCTGCAACCTTCAGCCTGTCATTGCAGCAGCCTGGACTGCACTAGCCAGAATGCATAGCTGTTCTCTGACGGGCTGCTCATCTCCACCCATTCATTGTTTTCCCTCTCTCACTGCAGGCGGTTTTGTTGAGACAAGCACAATCTCGCCAGCTCTGTTAACCATTGCCATGCAAGCAGAAAGGAAATACAAACCCTTCTCTCCATATGGCGGAGGCACGCACAGGTTAGTGGAATACGAATAGCTCTGCTTTTATGGGTGAAGGGAGAGCTATTTCGAGGGGGCTATAATTAGCTTTGCAAGGGAAGCAATTTTCTGCCTGCAGTCAGGGCCCAATCAGTGCAGACATTTTGCTACAATAAATATTGCAGCAGATTCTTGTAGCCTGCAGGTGAATCCTGATGCTTAAGAGCACCCAGGATAATACAAGTGCTAGATGTGTGATTTCACATCTAGGCTTTTTTCCCAAACAGATGTTCCCCCGCTTCCATGCACACCTATGACTCATACACAGAAATCTATACCATCCCCTCAGCCTGTTATATGATTGTAGCGCAGTTACAAAGTCCAGGCTTATCCTTGTAGGGATAAAGCAGCAGGATCGGAGGCAACTGCTAGCCCAGGAGGGTTGGGTGTGCAGAGTCTTTCAAACACCCAGCCACACAGTCTTGGCAGGATTACATCATCTCCCTGCTCTGCCACAAGACCTGCCTAAATATAAATCCTGGCACTAGGGATGGTATCTCTCCATACCATTCCTTGGCCACCATGGCCATTCCTTCCCACTCTCTGTCCTCTGTTCTTGAACCAGTTAGTGATGCCTAACAGGACCCCACCGACCCTTTTATTCCATGGCTGCTTAATTTGTTCAGGAGCCTTTGTTACTGGATTGCCCCTGTCTACATGCTTATTGATGGTCTCCAAGAACTCCAACAGGTCAGTGAGATAGGGTTTTCCCTTGTGGAAGCCATGTTGATTCTTTTTCATCAGGGCTTGTCCCTCAATGTGCCTACTGATTTTATCTCTAGACTCTATCTCTAGAATAACACTTTCAAGCAGTTTACACAAAACTTATTTTAGGTAAGGTAAAGGTTTCCCTTGACATTAAGTCCAGTCATGCCTGACTCTCGGGGGCGGTGCTCATCTCCGTTTCCTAGCCGAGGGAGCCAGCGTTTGTCTGCAGACAGTCTCCGTGGTCATGTGGCCAGCATGACTAAACACTGAAGTGCACGGAACGCTGTCACCTTCCCACCACAGTGGTACCATTTTATCTACTTGCATTTGCACACTTTCGAACTGCAAGTTTGGCAGGATCTGAGACGGAGCAACAGGAACTCGCCCCGTTGTGCAGATTCAAACTGGCGACCGTTCGATCAACCAGCCCAGCAGCTTTAGTTGGCCTATAATTTCCCAGATCCACCCCCTGGATCCCTTTCTAAAAAGTGTTACATTGGCCATATCCAATCCTCCGGTACAAAGGCTGATTTTGCTGACCTTAATATTTTGGTAAGAAGGTCAGCAATTTCATGTTTGAGTTCTCTGAGAACTCTAAGATGGGTACAGACAGGACTGGGTGATTTTCTGTACAAATCTGTACAAACTGGACTTTCAATTTATCAATAAGGTTGAGAATTTCATCTTTTGTCATTACTATATGCCTTAATTCCTCGAACTCCCTTCTAAGATAAGTTCAGTGACAGTTTCTCTGCAATCTCTGTGTTGCCTGACCCTCACCAGTGGTCCTGTAATCCCATTTTTGTCCAATGGTCCAATTACTTCTTTGATTGGTTTCTATTTAACTATTCTTTATTGTTGGCCTTGATGTTGTTAGCAATATGCTCCTCAAACCATTTCCTTGCTTCTTGGATTGTCTGCTTGCATCTCCCCTTGTGCACACTTGCACTCGCTTCTGACCCACTTCCAGTTCTGAAGAACCTTCTTCTCCCTAATAGCTCCCTGTGCTAACCATGCATAAAATTTGTGCTACTTTTCTTCACTTGTGCTATGTGTATTATCTGTGCCTCTTTTATAGTGTTTTTGAGTAATCTCAAGCACTTTGAAGTGATTTAAACTTCTCAATTCCCCTCTTCAGCATCTTCTTTACCAGTTCCCTCATTTCTGAGAAGTTTCCTCTTCTGAAGTCAAATGCAACTGCAGTCAACCTCTTTGGCAGTCTTCCACCTAACTGCATATTAAATCTAATACCACTTGGGCCACTGTTTTCTATAGACTCAACATTAATGTCCTATACAATGTCTCGGAAACCCCACCTAGGACAAAATCCAGGATTTCCTCACCTCTTATTGGTTCCACAACCAACTGCTCTAGGGCACAGCCATTAAGACATCAAGAAAGTTAACCTCTTTGTCAGAACTGGAAAGGCAGCTCGCTTACCTGTAACTATCATCCTTCAAGTGGCAGTCTGACCATTCACACATGTGGGCTTTGCACCTACACACAGCCTGTTGCTGGGAAACTTCTATAGCTAAGCATTCATTTGGGCAAACGCCCCTCCCTTCCTGTCCACAGGAAGCATTGGGAGAGGCTGCTGCCCCTCCACTCAGTTCCTAAGGAAACTGCCATGGAGCTTTGGACCGAGGGGGAGCGCTTAGCTATAGTAGTTTCCTGACCATTGGCTCTGCACAAGTGCAAAGTCATGGTCATATGGGAGAACAACTCAGAGAAAGTTCCCTGAGAGGAACCTGGAGGCCCCTGGCCCTGGGTGGAGATGACCGCATCTGGAGATGTGGATGCTTGTTTAGACTCGTCCAAGTCTGAGTCGGAGACGTAAGGTGGGCTGGACGAGGATCCACCAGGAGACATTGAAGGGCCGGCGAGCGCTGCAGCAGAGGTCGAAGGTGTGTCTCTCGGCACAGAGTGAGGTGTAGAGTGACGAGGGTGCGATAGTGGACATGGGTAATATCCATATGGGGCTAGTAGTCCCATAGATAAGGCCAATCAAAGTGGTCAGGATCAAATTCCCCATAAGGAAGGGGAACACAATGCCATGATAGCTGTGGTGCCGAAGGTGGAGGCAGTGAGAGGGACGAGGGGTGTTGGGGAGCCCTCAGAGATCCTGCCAAAGATGAGTGAACTGCAGGCGTGGGTGCTGGAGATCACATAGGCGGCTCTTCAACTCCTGGTTGTGGAGGAGAGACGCATATCTCTCCATCAGACATGGAGCCTCTTGCCGCAGTGTCAGGACTGAAGCGAGGCGAAGTCATTACCCTTGGAGGTGATGATGGAGGGGTCACCTGCATAAGGGACTGACGGCTCAGAGCTTCCACCAGAACCGAGGTCGGGACCGAGGTCGGGATGGTGGTCGGCTCTGAGGGGCAGCTTGTCATGCTTTGTGTGCCAATGCTCAGACTTGTTGGGTTTGTGCCTTTTGAGATGTTCGGACTTTGAGGAATCCTCGGACCTGATGTGCTTCCTCTTCTCCTTATGCTTGTGGGGAGGAGGACTAGCAGAGCTCTTTCCATCCCCTTCGACAGGACCTCCTCCAGATGGTGGGGCAGATGGGAGGTTAGATGGTCCTGCAGCTGCAGAAGAGCTGGCCTCAGCCGAGACCTGCTTCATGGTGACCAAGGCTTGGTCCCATAACATCTTTCTCAGCCAGTTTTCATGATTTTTACAGGCCTGTCTGGTAAAGGACTGGCAATGGCTGCATTTATCCATCCTGTGGCCTTCCCCAAGTCAAAGGAGGCACAGGTCATGAGGATCAGTGGGGGACATTTTGGCCCCACACTGAGAACGCTTATGGAAAGCCACCCGCTGTGCTAGCGAGAGAAGAACACAGTGAGCATAACAGCATGGAGAAGGACAAAAGAAGGGTTTTTTTCTATTATTGTTTTTTTGAAGGGGGTAGGGTAGGGGTTGGTGAGCGGGGGGGAACAGAGAGTTTAGGAACAGGGCGAACTGGGACATGGAATAACAGTAAAGCAAAAAGAAGAATCAAGACAAGAAAACTTTTAACCAGATCAATAGTGATATAGCAGAGAGCACAAGTGCAAAAAGAGCCCGAGGCACAACGAACGGCGGTCGCAAGCGGACTGAGGAAATAGCGGACACTCTGCCCCTTTTCTACTGGTGAGGAGGGTGCGGAGTTCCTGCTGAAACCATTAAAGCTGTTTAGTCTTCCCAGCAACAGGCACTGCTCAGGAGCAGCACCCATAATATGTGATCCATGGAGGCCACAATGAAGAAAGATGGGATAGAAATGTTTTGGATAAATAAATAATAAAACACAGTGGTGGGCCATGCCTTTTAAGGAGTTGCTGTTAGAGACATTACAGGCCTGAGAACAGACACCTATTAAGTGTATTTCCTTTACTCTAGCTGTGCAGTAGAGAAACAAAACTGCATGCCAAGGCTGAAAGTACTTGGAATCTCAGGGCTCTTTCCTTTTATTAGTCTCATGTTCACTCTTCCTTAAGTGGACAGAACAATTCAACAGGAAGAAAGGTAATGCCTTAATGATTTGGCTGGTGGCTGTTTTCAACTGTTCCTTCCTGCACAGTCTTCCTGTTTCCTTCTAGTAGATTCTTCATCTCCTGCCAAACTATATTTTGTTACATGTGACTTGCTATCCATATATAGTACACCAGTCCCTAAGCAGATGAACTGCTACACCATAAGCAAAACGGCTAGGCCAGGGTCAGGTAACCTGCTTCCCTTCAGATATTTTCAGCACTCATCAGCCCCAGTCAGCATAGGCAATGGTAGGTAATCATGGGAACTGCAGTCCAAAGTGTCCAAACCAGACTGAATTTCCTAGCTCCGGACTAGCCTTTTTTCTTACATTGACTGCATGAGTCTATTTTGTGATCTCTAAATGAGCCAAAGCTGACAAGAACATGTCAAGATGGGAACTTGATGTGATTCCACAAGTACCCCCTGTATAT